ACATCTCTGATTTGTGAAGAACTGGATGTGGAAAAATAAAATAAACTTCAATTTGGTCAACAAAGAAGTTGTTGTTGCTTCCAGGAAGTTGGACATCAGAGTATGAAAAATATCAGATATGGACAGGATCACAGTTCCCTCTTAAGGACAAGGTCTGCAGCTTAAAGTCCTGCCTGAATTCAGTGCTGTTGCTGCTTAGCCACATTATACTGGTGAGAATGAGGCTTTTCATCAGCTTTAGCTGATGAAGGTGTTGTGCCATTCCTAAGTAGAGATACCTGAGGAATCTCAAGGTGGAATTACTACAACATGTTCATCACTGGACAGTCTCGAAGACAATCCAAAATTGCACCTGGCAGGATGGGAGTAAGTGGTGCTTCCCAAAAGTGCCCTATAATTCAATGTTAAGGAGTTACACTGACTTTTTTTTTTGTTAGTTGCGAAGTCGTGTCCGACCCATCGTGACCCCATGGACAGCGTTCCTCCAGGTCTTCCTGTCCTCTATCATCTTCTGGAATCCATTTAAGCTCACGCCTACTGCTTACCCATAGCTTTCTGGATTCTGTTCAGAATGATTTACCTATACAGGTTGTTCCACATTTTTAGGTTTTCCATGAGGCATCTTGTCCCATCACAGTTACATATAAGGGAAGCAGCTAATTTTGTCTCTACTAAGGGGAGACATGAGTCACCTTGCCATTGTCGCTGAAGCTGGCCTTCTCCTTGTTATAGTTAAGAAGGTATTGATTAAAAAAAAATTTCAATCAGGGCTTTTAGCTTTTTCTGAATTCTTCAGATGCCATGCCAAGTCTCCATCGTATGGTTTTAGATGTTTTTTGAGGATAACATTAAAAATCCTTTGCTTTTGGCAGACCTCTGTAGGGATTCTTCATTCTTCATCCCGTAATCCCAAGGCAGATCATGGGCCAAAAGAAAATTAATCCCAGCCCATCTATTGAAGCCACAGTGTCATTTGATGGTCTCTTTCCTGTGATGTTTATTAATATGCACCACTACTAGCTAGCTCAGGGGTCTTCAAACTTGGCATTTTTAAGACTTGTGGACTTCAACTCCCAGAATTCCTCAGCCATCATGGCTGATTGAGGAATTCTGGGAGTTGAAGTCCACAGATCTTAAAGTTGCTAAGTTTGTAGACCCTTGAGTAAGCTGGTCGGCCATTCTTCCTGTCTCCCGTCTGAGCTCTTTCCGCAATGTAGTAAGAATGCATCCCCCCCAATCTCTTCCATGTACCCTTAAAGACACAGGAATCAAGTGCAAAGCAAGAAAGGCTCACAAAATAAAGAAACACATAAACTCTGGGGGGGGGAGTGTCTTAAAGCTGCAGCATGTCACATGTCACAATGTTGCAATCCGAGACTGAAAGGCTCCATCAATTGCAAAAAGCTTTAGCCTTGAATTAAGCTTGTTTAGCTTCAAAGAAAACTTTCTAAAAGCCATAGACAGACTCAAGATAAGGGGGTAAAACTAATTACATTTGTTTAAAGGGATTAAACCTATGGAAGTCAACACTTTGGACTCATTGCTAGCCTAAAATACAAACTAAAATATTCCAATAACCAAAGTACACAAACCAAGCCTCTGAATTACAAACACTGTGAAAACTGTACAAAAATCCTTATGGCAACCCAATCAAGCTGCCAGCTGATCCAGAACTAAATAAACCCAGCTCCTTTCTGACATTCTCATCTGCCGGCCTCAGCGCTGATTGCATTCTCCTGGCTGGAGAAAAAGAACCAGGGGACCTTTTCTTCCAGCAACAGCTGCTTCTTCTTCCCTGTCTCTTTTTCCTCCCTGCCTGCTAAGCTCCCCTTCTCTTTCCCTGTTGTCTTTTTTCCCCCTTTCCCGCCCAAACCACCTCCTTTTATAGCCTCTCCTCTCCTTCCCCTTTTTCTTCCGTTCACCTCCAGCTCTGTGCCAGCTGGAACCAATCAGCTGGAGCCCTGCCAGCTCCTGGGGCTTCTTCCAGCCCAGACAGTCCTGCAGCTGCAGCTGCCTCTCCCTCAGGCTTGAGTCGCTTCGGCTCATTCCCTTCTCTGGGATGTTGCATACCACCTGCCATGTGACAAAGTACCACAGGTGGTACACATACCACTGGTTGAAAAGCCCTGAGCTAGACTACTCATGCGGAGACAACCTCACCTCTCATGAAGGGCTGCGCCAGCATTGTCTACTTAACCCCGCCCTGAGAACTTGAGTGTTGCTGGAGCAATGTGCCCACTTGTGTGCCTTGTGTGCTTGTGCCTTGTATCCTGGCCTGTTTGCCTCCTGGGCTGCTTTCCTCAACTTTGTGTGTGCCCATTGGATTTGGTTATCTAGCAACTCTTGCTCTACTGAGCTTGGAATCAGGACCTGTGCAACAAGGGTGCTTTCTGAGGGCCTGTAGAACTCTTGCCATATGTGTGTGTGTGTGTGTGTGTGTGTGTGTGTGTGTAGTGGGGAGACAGCACAGGAGGACAATTCCATGTCATCTTTCACCTTGACATTCAATTCTCTCCTTCTCCCTTCTCCAGTTGTAAAGCACTGAAAATGCTGTATATTATAGAAATCCTAAGAAGCAATGTGAAGGAAGGGGACTTTTCACATTAGAATAGAGTTGGAAGGGACCTTGTAGGTCATCTACTCCAACCCACCACCTAAGTAGGAGACCCTGCACCATTTCTGACAGATGACAGTCCAGTCTCTTCTTGAAAGCTTCCAGTAATGAAGCACCAACAACATCTGAAGGCACTCTGTTCCATTGGTTGATTGTTCTCACTGTCAGAAAATTTATCCTTATTTCTAGGGTGAATCTCTCGTTGATCAGTTTCTATCCATTGTTCCTTGTCTGGCCTTCAGGTGCTTTGGAAAATAGGTTGACCCCCTCCTCTCTGTGAGACATCCTCAAATATTAGAACACTGCTATCACATCTCCCCTGGTCCTTCTCTTGTATTCTGTTAAATAAGGAATGCATTCAGCAGAGATACCAGAAAAGAGTCCTTAGATTATATGGGGAAATGTAGGGGGAATCCCAAACCTAGAAGTTTCATGTGCTGATTCTTTTCTATTTTAGTTGGATCACACTCTTAACATCCTTCCCAAAGCACCAGCTACAATCACTTCCATTCTAACTGCTGACATATGAATAATAAACTCGGTCATTTTAAATTGACAATTCTTGCATGTAACACAATCCAGGTAGACGTATTATGCAAGTCTTTGCTTAGCCAGGAGCAATATATGACATTATTACTGTTTGCAGTGAGTAAACCATATCTGCAACAACATATGTGACCTATGGGCACAACTTTCAATTTGACAATCTGCAAAAAGGAGCAAAAATAAAAATTACATCCCTAATTAGCTGGTAACATGGAGGGCTGGTAGAATGAATGCATATTTTGTATGCTCATATTTAATTGACTGATTAGTATTTACCATTTGTGGATAGTAGCTTGTTAACCTATGTAACACCACAACTTTGCAAGTTATGCTTCCAGTGGGGTTCTGTGTATTATTCAAAGTGCTGGTTATCATCTGTATAAAGCCCTACATGCCACAGGATCATGTTAATTGCAAGGTCTCTTGTCTCTGGTTTATGCTCTTCCAGGCTGGGCATATTCCATGTTTCCTCTTTGCCTCAATATCATCAATATCAAAGAAATGTGCCTTTTCTATGAAGTGTGTGTATGAATAAATGGTAGATGTCTCCATCTTGGTGTCTTTAACAGATGTCTTTAACAACTAGAAGGTATTTTGTTAATTTCTGTTTTAGTGGATTAGTAGTTGAATGGTAAGGTTGTTATGGTGAGTTGGGCACTATATAGATTGGATAATTCTTTCTTTCTTTCTTTCTTTCTTTCTTTCTTTCTTTCTTTCTTTCTTTCTTTCTTTCTTTCTTTCTTTCTTTCTTTCTTTCTTTCTTTCTTTCTTTCTCCTATATGCCACCCATCTTGCCAAAGGTGACTCGATAATACATACAGTATATACAGCACCTGTGACAAGGTATTGCTATATGTTTTCACTATCCATAAATACAGCAAGTTGTCTTTTTTCTATCTATTGATAACACAATGTTGAATTAGGCTTAATGACACATCAGAAGTCTTGGTTTATTTCCTGGTTTTAGAAAAGCCATTGCGATTAATTGCTCTTTGATCAAATTTTCCCTCTCTCCCTCTCCTCTGTTTGGAACAGTGTTTCTCAACTTTGGCAACTTGAAGATATGTGGACTTCAACTCCACAAAATTGAAAAATGGAGAATTGCACCCAAAGAATGGAGTGGACCTCAGCTACAGCTGGAGAATTTTGGGAGTTGAAGTCCATACCTTTTCAGAGTGCCAAGGTTAAGAAACACTGCTCTGGAATGCCTCTGTGTATGTTGACCTTGGTTGATCTCCAGAAATGATAAAAAAGACTGAACCTAGTTAATGCTTGGATGAGATAAACTACTACACAGAGAGGTCTATGTGGTCCCCAAGAGCCCAGCTTAATTCCAGAGAGTATACTTTTATGTGTATATGCACACATTTATTTGCTGCAATGTATATGCTGTTCAATCCCCCTCAAAAGCTCCAATTAGCTTAGAAATAGTACAAAAATACAATAAAAGCAATAAAATGAAAATTATAATACAAATCAGACAACTAATAATAACAATATTTTTCTATTTATCATCACATTGAGGATGGCTATTCTACATAATAACAATGTCTCCATCATTCTATCTGTCTAACTACTCACCTATGCTAACTACTCACCTGTCTCTAAGTGGACATATTTATATTAAAAAATGTCTCTTTTGGTGTGTGTGTGTGTGTGTGTGTGTATGTGTGTATGTGTGTATGTGTGTGTGTGTGTGTATGAGTGAGTGTGTAGACAGCAGAGGGCAGCAGAACACAACTTAGGAAAGCCATAACTATTACCTAATGGCTGGAAACTACCAGCTATCTCTCTTCCCTCCCACTCTGCATGTTCTACCCCAATCTCTGTGAATCATAGCTAACAGGGTTAAGAATTTATTGAAATCTGTTTGAAACTCCCAAGAACAGACCTCAAGAACTGGAGGGAGAAAAGAGAGCTTAAGTCCACCTTCGAACATGTGAGTGTTGTTTGTGTGGGAAAGGGAGGTGGCATAGGTGCCTATTGTTAAACCAAATGCAGAGATTTCTTTTTTTTACTATATCTATATTAAAACATCTCCAGGGACGCAGAATATCTATGGTGTGCTTGAGAAGGAACTACAGGGCTGGGTTTAACCTTAGATGAATATAACACAGCCTCAAGGTGCTGCTAAAGTGCCTTGTTCCTGGTTTAGTCCTGCAGCCCCTTACGCAGACGGGGTTAGCAAGTACAACATAGTGCTTTTCTTCATTCAACTAATGGGCTTGCTTCAAGACCCTTAGCTCATCTTCAACTGAAAAGCCAGGGATTGCCAATGTAGGCCAGAGACAGGGATTTGGGATTAGAGTTAGCAATTCCTCTCCAGGTTCCTTCGCAGCACTTGGTGATCTTTGGGTCCAAAGAGCTTTGTAGAGCAACAGCAAACAAATCAGAGTAGCAACTACTTCACAGGGAAATCAAAACTGAAAACCACTCAAGGACTATTGCTGCCTTTCTCCTTTCCTTATTATCTCTAGGATCCTTGCAGAGAGCTTAGTCTACATAGCATTGCCAACAGAGACCATGATGTTCTTGACACTCTTGTAATTTCTGGCAATTCTGAAGGATCCTAGTTTTCAAGGCTACCATATACTGTCCTGCTATGTGCTAAAGGATTTTTCACCTTCTGGATTAACAAGTGAACTGTTCTAATACAGGAGGATAAAACGCCATGTTTCCATCAGGAATTGCAAGATCCAGTTCACTGGAAGGTCCATAGGCAGAAGGATAGGATCTGGATTACAAAAGTTCAACTATCACTATAGCAATGAGATAATTTTCTGAAGTTATTTACTGCCTTGTACTGGTCATTTGGATATTTACAACCAGATCTGATAGCCCTAGTCCCAGGACTACATATGTATACAGTATACACTGTGATTCTGTTAGCATCATTGTACCATTATAGACTGGATAGGCTGGACGTACAGCATGTACCATTCTAGAAATCTAAGCTTCTCTGTTAAAAGGCAAAACAAGGCTTGTAATCCATAAGTTCTACTTATGCAATACTGAGAAGATGTTTCAAAAGAAATAGATGCATTTTCTTTAAAGGTGCCTATTGCCCAATTCAATCTTCACTATATGTGTCTGTGTTTAGAGGGCGGGTGTCCACTTCAGAGGCCTTGTTTGCTCTGTTTTTTGGCTATGTCTTCTCATACATGCCTATGTTGTGTTGTGTTGCCAGGTCTCCCATTGTCTTCCTGCTTCAGGGAGCTTTCTTATTTGCTGCAGTCAGTTCCAAGCCAACCACAAAGAAGCTTTATGGGGAGATCACTTCCCCAAATTATCCCAAAACATACCCCAACAACAACATCAGTACCTGGGACATTTCAGTACCAAAGGGCTACAGAGTGAAGCTACGTTTTTCGCTGTTTGATCTGGAGCCATCTGAGGCATGCCGGTATGACTTCGTCAAGGTATGTAAAGAAAGGCTGGGTTGTGGTGATGGGAATCAGGGTCTCTGAGATCCAAGTATTGCTGCCCCTAAAGGATCAGATATTACTGTATTCACTGGACTTTGCATCACAAGGTCCTTCTTGTCTTCTTTATTATTCTCCTCGCACTTTTTTGTATTTGAGCTCAGATTTAGTTGCAAGTGTTTTCTGGTGAAACTGATCTATCAGAGCAACCTGGTCTACCCAAATATGGGACGGAGCATACTGCTTCCGCTTTTGCCTTTCGGCCCCAATCTAGGAGCCTTCGATTAAAGAGTCTCCCTTTAATTCTTTGTCAGTAAATTTAAATTTAACATTTAGTTGCAAGAAAACACTTACTAGGGGGAATTTTGATTTCCTTCCTTCTTCTTCTATAACACACCAACTTTCTGCATCTCAGTTTGTTTTCCAAATTCCCCTTGTTTCAATCCAAATTGGCAAGATGCTTTCTGCATGGACTGTTTTTAAAGGATTACAGTGCAATACCCCATGTACAGTATGTGTCAGGTTAATTGAAGATATTTTGGATCCTGGCCAAGAAGCTCTCCAGTTTCTAATGTTTCCTTCCTTCTCTCCTTGGACTCTGGCAGATCACAGCAAACAAGAAGGATTTAGGCCGGTTCTGTGGCCAGGTAGACTCTGCCACAGGCAACTACCCACGAGACAAGGAGTTTTTGTCTACCAACAATCGAATGCGGCTCCTGTTCCAGTCTGACTTCTCTAATGAGGAGAATGGCATTGTAGTTTCCTATAAGGGATTCTTAGCTTATTATCAAGCCGTGGGTGAGTATAGAAACTGACCCAGCCTCACTTTTCAAGATCAGTCAAGGCTTGTTAATGAGAAATATTTAGGGTGGGAGGAAAGGAACAGAAGAGGACATAAACATAAACAATCAAGAAAGAGTAGGTAACTCAGTGGAGAGCTTAGCTCATAAATAGCAATTCAGTCCAGATGGGAAGAAATCTGGGAAGAAGTATCTCACACTATTTAAAAATACTCTATTTTAATTAGCTCAGTATAAATGAGGTTGGGAAATACAGTTTCCAGGGTTCTGTGTCTATCTCAGTGTAGTGGTATATGTAAATATAGCCAGAGGCATCTGCAGCAAACTGGTGATGACATGAACTGATGACACATACATAGCGATGTTACCATGCAAATACTGCCTTTATATACTGGATGGATGACCTGGTGTGTGAACATACAGGTGAAAATTCTGGCATCTCTAGCCTGCAGCAATTGAAATTGCTAAATTGTCTTCAAAGGTAGCTCAACAGATAACATTGTGTAAGTACCCCAGTGAGAAGTTTACTAGCACTTAGGCTGTCCCTGTCCAGAAATAGTAGAAATTGGTGAACCTAAATGGATGAAAAATATGTCAAGACACCAAGAGTGCCTGAGGCTCCAGTGACAAATGACTGCTATACATTTTCTTTTTTAGGGGAATATAACCATATCAAAAACATTATATTTCCTGAAGACCACATATTCCAAACAGCACCTCTTTATCATGATTCAACTTATTAGCTCTAACACTACAGGCACCAGTTCAGCACCTTCATGCCTTTACCTGGGTGAGGATTTCCCATTTGAAATCCTTAGATATCTTGCCCGTTAAGCAGCTTCTTCTCCAGCATGATGGATGGAGAATCCACAAATGGGTTTAGACTGTCTTCCTGCCCAATTAGACTAAGTCTGACAAAGTAGCCACGCCTCCTGCTGTGTCCTGTGTTTCCCAGACACGACTTAGTCTTCAGCCCAGCAGGACACGATTGTGTCATTCAGATGGAAAGATGAGAGAATCCAATAGTGCAAGAAGTGTTGCCAGATCAAGCGGAAAATCCTAATTCTACATAATGGAGCTGGAAAATTCATTGTTAAGTGACACCATCATTAATAGAGGCACCATGCAACCAGGCTCAATTTTATGACCCTTAGCCACAGTTATTAAGTGAAACAGCACAGTCATTAAGCAAGACATCACATGATCATGATTTGCAATTTTCCCTGCTTCCCCCACTAATTGAGCTTGTTGGAAGCTGGCTGGGAAGGTTGCAAATCCTGATCACATGACTGCAGGAAGCTGCAACTCTCATAAATGAAAACCGTCTGCCAAGTGCCGTGTGGGTTTTCTCATGTCTTCAGGAACTGGGGGCTTTGGGTCACAGGAGGCTTTAACTGTATTGCTTAAATTGTTATTTCACATCTGCAGTTCTGTCATAGCCGGTAAAGATTTGCAGCTTGAACATGCTAAGTGAAGAACAGCAGACCCTCAACATTGCAGCTATCTATAAATATTTGCCGGTGAGGGAATAAGATTTTTAGTAACCATTAATCTCCAGCTGAGATGCAGCACATATGAGCAAGCAGGTGTATTATAATAGATCATAAGCAGGAGGACTAGGATTTCTTCTTTTACTGGGAAGCTGCCCTGGAAACAGCTGCCTTGAGAATGTTTTTCTGCTCAAGAGCAAAAGAATGAACCGACCTTAAATGCAAAATCAATAAAATCCTGTAAACTATTCTGTTTCCTGCTTTCATCTCATCCTCTAGATCTAGATGAGTGTGCCCCCAGAAATGACATTGAAGATGGTCCTCAATGCCAGCATTTCTGTCACAACTATATAGGGGGCTACTTCTGCTCTTGCCAGCCCGGCTACCAACTCCAGAGTGATCGGCACTCTTGCAAAGGTGAGTCCATATGATCACCCAAGAAAGCAGAATACTGGAGAGAACAGGGAGCTCATGTAGAGCAATGGCCAGAAGAATACCAATATGGAAGAATGCAAGATAACATTCAGGAAGTTTGCAGGAATCATTAATGGAGAAGTAACAATTTAGTTCTGGGAAAGGAGAGGAGAAAATATGAAAATGAAATTCAGAACAACCCTGCCTTGATTCCCTCTGGTATGAGAAGCAGCAGAGGAAATATCTGAATGGCTTTAAAATTCTGCTATTACACCTTACAATTGTGACTAGCAATCCTATAAATCCTGGGGTTTCTGATTTCTCATCTAGTCTATCTCAAAGGGCCGATAACCCTTGTCTCTAATGCCATCAAGGTGCTATTCCAGGTTTGCAATGCCATAGGAAAAGAAATAGGTCCCAGAAATATACCACCTGCTGCTTTGCCGATGGGCTGATATGAGTTTTCCTTCAAGTGAATCTTCTTTTGTTTCTTCCTCTGCAGTGGATTGCAGCAATGAACTGTTCACAGAAACCTTTGGGCATTTCTCAAGCCCTGGATACCCTGAGCCTTATCCACCCAACTTGCAGTGTAATTACAGCATACGGGTAGAGAAAGGGATGACCATTATTCTCAAGTTCTTGCAGCCATTTGAAATTGATGACCACCAGCAAGTCCGTTGCCCTTATGACCAGCTTAAGGTACTGCAGATTGATAAATTCCTAATTGATATTGCCATTCAGTACTTGGGTCAATCCTATAATGGATGATAGATCAGGAATAAGGAAGCTTCAAGGATTGCTACAGTCTGTTCCAGGTTCTCGTTGTGGAATTAAACTTTTGGGGTTTTCCTAAGAAAGATCTATGGAAATAGCCAGAATATTGTCCAATATTGTCCATGTTCCATTTACATTTTAAAGTAAACTCTACTGCAAATAGGGTGAGTTGTTCCAGGGAGCTTGGCTTCTTCTGAAATGCCTATTACAGACCAAATGACTCATGTAATATTTTGTGTATAACAAGTGTACAAGTAGAACACAAGTACACATCAAGTGCTTTCACTGTTACAAAGCAGGCAACACACTGACCATAGTTGATCCAAAGGGGAAATCTCGAAGGGGAAATCTCAGATTGGGCACCTTCTGTTTGTTTCATATTGCTGTTCACTTCACACTATTGTCATGTTGAAAGAAAAATATTTATCAGGGTCCAGTCCAAGCCGGGAATAAACAAAATGGAGACTGCTTTAGAAAGAAGGTTGTAGTTTATTGAAGAACAGAACCACAAGACATGTGGCTCTGGAGCAGCTGACCACATGTTGTTGGGAGTGGTGGGTTTTTATGCCTTCTTGGGCTTTTGTGTTTGGAGTTGTTCCTGTGGCATGAACTTTGACCAGAGGTTCAGTGTGCCTTTTTAGTATTCTGATGGTGGTGGGTTAATCCTATTATGTCCTAAAGATCATGTCCTGCATCCCTGTGGCTGATGGCTATGTCCTGTGTTGGATGCTGGTTCTAGGGATCTTTGTCTTTCTAATCCCATCAGTTCTAAACATCCTGGTTCCAGCCTTTCTGAAAGGATTATCAAATCTGCATTTCTACAGACCTGGCTTTTGCTTGGGGCAGAGAGACTTGTGGGAGGGGGTTTTCTGCCTTTTAAGAACTTCTCCATTATTCCTTTGGGGAAATATAATATTCTGCCTTTTTAATATTCCCCAAAATATTTCTTTCTCTGGGGGGGGGCTGACTTCCCACAGTCAAAATGCTTTTGTTACTACATATAGAGAGGCTTTCCCTGCACCCCCTAATATGAACATTTATTCAATCTTTTTGCCTTAATAATTATGTATGTATATATATATTTATTACTGAATTATTTATTTATTACATTATTTAATTTTTAGAAAATATGTTAAGTAAATATGTTAAGTAAATTCAAAACATTAAATTAAATGAAACATTAAAATGCAGCAACTAACAATGAAATCAAAAGTTAATATAAAAAGATAATTGCAAGAAAAAGCCCAAAATTATATAAAAGAGCTAACATGAAAAACCAAAATCTAGAGACAATGAGCTGAGATGGGCGGCTATAGAAATTAAATAAACAAATAATAAAGAAATGTTTATGGGAAATCCATCAAAATAAACAAAAAGAGAAATATTTCAACAACATTTAAATGTCTTTGCTATATGTTCCACCTTATTTATAGTAGAGAGAAATTAAATTTGAACCTATGGATAGATAACTTTTGATTGGTTGGTTGGTTGGTTGGTTTTAATAGAAATATTCAAAAGGTATAAAAATGCAATTCTAATAACCATATAGAAAAATTACACTCTGAATTTGGCACAAGTCAAATTTTGGAATGCCTTTTTCATTCTAATGAGCTTATAGCCAAATCTCCCGAGTAAGTTTGTTTCCCATTTCATGTAACATCTTCTTCTGACTGATGGACTATTCATTTCTGAAACTTGAATTTCTTACTAGATCCATGCTGGCATGAAACAGATTGGTGAATTCTGTGGCAACGTGCCTCCAAGAACCATTGAAACCAACAGTTCTTCAGTAGATGTCACTTTTCTCACAGATGAATCAGGATACAGCCGAGGGTGGAAGATTTCGTACAGTATAGAAAGTAATTATTTCCCATCCAATACTTTAAAAGGTAATGAATGACTTTTCTGCTGCTGCTTCTTTCATTTCTTTCTCATCTCCAATAGGGATCCGCTGCCCAAAGCCTGTGCCAAAAGATGCCTTCACCATCATCAAGGACCCACAGCCCTTGTATCAATACCAAGACTACTTCATTGTCAGCTGCAAAACTGGATATAACTTGATGGAGGTGAGCCTTATTCATTTGAGTGCTTTATTATTTTTATCTCTTATAAGCTTTTTTCTTGCAATGACCTTGATCCAAGTGGTCTCCCTGTTGCTTCTTCTAAAAGCTTTCCTTTCTTTCTGCATCTCCTACTCTTTTTCATGGAAGCAAATTAAGATATATGTCAAGGCATGAAAAAACAAAATACGTATCTTCCCCATGCAAAAGAAAGAGGTCAAACTGTACTTGGATTTCTGATTAAAGACAGAGAGTTGCCAATTGCGCAATTTTTGAATAGTTAATAAAGCACAGAGAAGAAATTGGAGAAACCGAAAGTGTAACAGAGAGAAAGAAAACATTAATTTGAAACTCAGCTCTAGAAGCTGCTTTGAAGGTCAGACCTCGATTCTATTAGCACCAAACTTACAACTGCAAGCTTTTCTCATGTTTTCACACTACTGAATAACTCTAACCAGTCATATATTAACTAGAGAAGACTAGTGAGCTGCCCCCCCAGCCTATTTTCTTGTAGGATTACATTTGTTACCCCAGAGTCCCAGATTTTAATTAAAAAGAATTCTCCATCTGGTATAAACATGCAATCACTATAGCTTGTCCAATAGCAAGTTCAGTCTAAAACTAATGACAACAATTGATCCTCTTTATAATTAAGATATTTTTTCATGCAGAAAAACCCAAACCTGAAACCTTGTTTTCATGAGGTTTCTGAAGACCCGCCCTGCTAATGCAGGGAATTACTTTTGAGTAATAATTATATGGGGGGGGGGGAACGGGGGTCAGAGATATGAAGATGGATTGCTTTTGGCTTTGGCAATGTTGTCAGTCCCAGAATGGTGTCAGTAACATGGGTGAGGGATCCTTCTTACATTTTTGGAAAGAGAAAGCTTTTCTTCTTCCTTACCACAGATTCCAATAAGGAGAAAGGCTAAGGCAAAACCCCATGTACAGCCTACCCCATCTGCCACTGCCAAACAAAACTTTCCTAAGGTTGCATCTCTAGTCTGATTTGAACCTCAGTCGGCAGGACCATCAACAAAGGTATTAAGTTGATTGCTAGTTGTTTTTCTTTTGAACAGGGTAAAGAACACTTGACATCCTTTACCTCTGTCTGCCAACATGATGGGACCTGGCATCGTTCTATGCCCGGATGTGAAAGTGAGTAGTTAGTCTTTCCTACTTGTTGCCTGCAATACTACCTAAGCAGATCAAGTTCCCCAAATTCTGGTGACCTTTTTCATGACTCCTGGCACCGAAGGGCTGGAGCTGGGAATCTTCATTGCCCATGGCAGTGGGAAGCCTTTTGCTGCCTCTGTCCACAAGAGAGTCCACTGTGTTCATTCAATCTATACTGGGCAATAAATAGGACTCTTCTTCATGGTGTACCAATTCTGAGCCAGAAAAATATACCAGCATAGAGCTTGCTGCCTTGCCTTCACTGTCTGTCCTTATCTTGGAGCAGCCCTTATTTATGGTGTATGAGGCATGCCTCTGGTAAGACCAGACCATCTTATTTGTCTCTTGAGAAACCTATATGTGGGTCAAGAAGCAACAGTGAGAACTGGACACGGAACCACTGATTGGTTCAAAATTTGGAAAGGAGTCCGGCAAGGCTGTATTCTGTCGCCCTGCCTATTTAACTTATATGCAGAGCACATCATGAGAAAGGCAGGGCTAGATGAATCAAAAGTTGGAATTAAGATTGCCGGGAGAAATATCAACAACCTAAGATATGCAGATGATACCACTCTAATGGCAGAAAGTGAAGAGGAACTAAAGAGCCTCTTGATGCGNAAGAAATGGAGGTAGTGACAGATTTTATTTTCCTGCGCTCCAAGATCACCGCAGATGGGGACTGCAGCCAAGAAATTAAAAGACGCTTGCTCCTGGGGAGGAGAGTTATGGCAAATCTAGACAGCATACTAAAAAGCAGAGACATCACCCTGCCAACAAAAATGCGTATAGTCAAGGCCATGGTTTTCCCAGTTGCAATGTATGGATGTGAAAGTTGGACCATAAGAAAGGCTGAGCGACAAAGAATTGAGGCCTTTGAACTATGGTGCTGGAGAAGATTCCTGTGAGTCCCTTGGACTGCAAGGCATTCAAACCGGTCAGTCCTAGAAGAGATCAACCCCGACTGCTCTTTAGAAGGCCAGATCCTGAAGTTGAAACTCAAATACTTTGGCCACCTAGTGAGAAGGAAGGACTCACTGGAGAAGGACCTAATGCTGGGAAAGATTGAGGGCAATAGAAGAAGGGGACAACAGAGAATGAGATGGCTGGATGGAATCACTGAAGCAGTAGGTGTGAACTTAAATGGACTCCAGAAAATGGTAGAGGACAGGAAGACCTGGAGGAACGTTGTCTATGGGGTCGCGATGGGTTGGACACGACTTCGCAATTAACAACAACAACAAGGCATGCCTCAGAGAGTGATTGCTGGATTCTCCTGGCTTTGCTTCCTTCTGCTCCTATCAAATGTTACTCAGCATATAAAATTTCAGGCAATCACTCTCCTTTATGTGGTGATAGAACCTAGACAGGGATGGAGGCAAATTTTGATCTATAGTTAAACAGGAAAGTTTAGCCATCTTTCAAAACTCACTCTGATTTTACAAAAGTGTATAGAAGGAAACCTGATTATTAGCTGGTATCAGCTGATAATCAAGCTCCTTTTGGATTTTTAGCACCATTTAATAATAATGCTAAGATATTTAAAAGTAATCTAAATCATAACTGACAGGAACATCTTCATTTGTCAGCTCTTGTTCAGTGATCCATGTCTCCAAGCTGGGTTCAGCTCAGAACCCCAATGTATGTGGGGGGTAGGGGGGAGATCCCAATTTATACCCTCTGTATTTCTTAAATGAAAAAAAAAATAAAAGAAAAGAAGGGCCCTAGAAGATAATGTCCAGAAATTGGAGAGGTGGCAGATTCATAAAAAAAACACCACCCCATTAAATATGCCTTTATAGCAGACATGTCAAACACAAGGCCCGGGGGGCAGATGCGGCCCGCAACGTGGTTTCATGTGGCCCGCGAAGCCATCCTGGAAACAGTGAGGGAATGGCCCCCGCTGCCTTGGCCCCGGCCGCCCAGGAGCCAATGTACAATTTTGTGGTGGCCATCTATGCTGAAACTCATTCAGTCTTAGCTCCACAAGGCCATCTGGAAACAGCAAGGGACTGCCCCCTGCTGTGTTGGACCCGCTCCCTGGCACACGCTGGGGAGGTGTCACCCTTTGTGAGGAATGAAGAAATGCACCATCACCTGGAAGTGGCCAGCAAATGGCCCTCGCCTACTTCACATATCCAGCTTGATGGGCTCCGGGGGAGGGGTTTGGGCAGGCTCTTCCAGTGGACCATGCCTTGGTGCTTGCCCTGGTCCTACCCCCTTCTGCCAGAGACCCTCAGATCTGTCCCACTCCTGCCCAGGCCCCCACAGGCACCCTTGACACGAACGATGTAGAGCTGGCAATGCCCACACCACACAGTAGGCCACGCCCACCCAGTAGGCCGTGCCCACCCTGGCCACACCTACCCGGCCCCCCAAGGACAACCACAAGGCTGATGCGGCCCTCAATGAAATTGAGTTTGACACCCCTGCTCTATAGCTAATCTCTTCCCAGGAGTCACCTAGCTATACTGCCAACAGAATAGTCAATGAAACCCATCTGATTCTATCCATGGCAAACCCTGTGCTGAGATAAGACAAAAAAAATAATGCTACTTTAGCACAGATGTGGCTAAGGGTGACTTTAAGATAGCAATGCGATGAAAGCAACATCAGGAGGAAGTAGCCAGGGAAAAAAAAGGTTGCTGGGATGTTTTTGCTGCAATTGTGCAAACAAGGAAACTCTCCTAAATTGTGGAAATTGGCTCTTAGATTTATGCTCTTTATTTTCTGACATGCTGCCAATACTTGATCTTACATCTGACAATCCTGAGGAGGCTTTCTTTTATTTCTTTATGTTTCCCTGCTAAACCTCTCTCTGAATAGTCTTAAGGATTTGGTATCTTTTTGCCTGTGCATGAAAAAGCATTTCTTTATATGCAGATGTAATTTGGATATAACTAATAGCAGGGAAATAAGCTAATCCTCTCTTTTGCTTCTCATTTAAAAACAAACCAAACTAGTGATTGATACTGCTACATCTCACACAAAGTTTTGATCTTCTTCACTAAATAGGATCTAAAACAGAAACTAAAATTCACCATTATTGCATTGTTCTGTTAGGGCAGGATTTGAGCTATGACATACTATTCACCATAGCCTGAGAAAGAAATGAATGATTCCTGTGAGAGTGCTGGTCTTGGGTTGTGATCGTTTCTGATCCCTGGAAAATCCCAGAGGGAGATACTTCTTTTCATCTTATGTGTTTTGTCTTGCAGTTGTGAATTGCGGTGAACCTAAATTTCTGAAAAACGGGGCATTTAATTTTGTAACAGCAACAAAAAATAACAACTATGAGTCAGTTATCAAGTACCGCTGTAATGAACCCTATTATCGCCTGCTCAACACCCCAGGAAAAGGTGAGGCCCTCCATAGCCAGATCCATGCAAGCCCAGCGGAAGCAGTTCAAGCTGCAGCAATGCTTTGGAAACTTGGCAAACCAGCAGCCGAGAAATTTCCTTGCTTTTGTATGTGTATCTTCTTTACCAAATGTGGGGGGGAGGGGCAGTAGTGTTGGGGGGGAGGAAGGCTGGGCATGCTCCAGGTTGCCTTGGTGAAACTGGCAGGGAGGGCCTCATTGAGGCTGCCTTATGAAACAGCCTTCCCTAGAGATATGGATGGACTTGACCCTTGTTGGCCTTTTGGAAAACAGCAAAAACCTGGATTTCCCCCTCAGAACTGGGGCCAGGATGTTGATGGAGCTGGCACAAGATGCCCGATTTATGGATGAAGTTCTGGTAGGACCTCAATGGTGCCTTTATTGTTTTAATGCTTTTTAAAAAAATAATTGTATTATGTTATTCTTATCTGGCATCCAGAGTTTCTTTTGGTAGATGGCTGGGCATATAAATTTAATAAATAAATAAATTTCTTTTAAAAATAACATAAGAGATGGTAATGAAGCAATAACCAATGGCTCTTGGGCATCTGATTTGACAATGTTAATTCTTTAAATAAATTCATTATAGCCAGAAAAAATTATTTATTTTATTTATTTAAATTGGTTTTAGCTGCCCAACCTCGATGGAATCATTGTGGGCTAGAGTACTTGGTGTTAAAACACATTGGACAGCAATAAATGTATTTTTGGTTGGTTGGTTTGAGTGAGTGAGTGAGTGATTTCAATTTCATTGCACTTGTAAGATGTTCAGATACACAAAAAAAAGAACATAAAGCATCTATGGTTAAAAAAAACAATAAAATGTTCAAAAATAAACAAAAACCATTGAGCATTCAATATCTGGTCCCAGTATTCTTGTTTTTGTTTCTCCTTTAGGTATCTACACCTGCTCAGCTGAGGGTTCCTGGAAGGATCAAATTGACCATGATGACATTCCAATGTGTCTACCAGGTAAATCATGCCCAAAGATTTTTCTAACACATGATTCACCACTTCCCAGTAGTCATAGCTGATGCTGGTGCCAGAAGACTAGCAGGTTATAGAACCAGAAGAGGCAGAGAGGAAGCAGGCATCATGTCCACCTCCATTGTTATTTGACCTACTAGAATGAGATGGGATTCTGGATCCAGCCCTGAGATTAATTTCAGTTCTCATTCTCTTCTTAAAATTAACTTCTGTAAATAAAAGGAGGATAGGCAGATAGCACAAACAAAAAAGCAGAGATCAAAATATATAAAAGAAGCATATTGATAAAGCATATCGCAATTCTCAGATGTTTTTTTTAAATAACCACAACTAGTATTTCTGGTTAAAAATCTTTGCTGAGAATTAAAAAAAAATCAGTCTGAGACCTTTGAGGTCTGTTTTTTTGGTCAGCTCTCACTTCTTTTGTGGGTCCAGAAGGACAAACAAGAATAGCACCCACAGACAGTCCTAATAGGAAGATTAAGTCATAGGTGCCAGCAAAGCTTGGAGAAAGAAGAATAAGCCACCCAACAAATTATTGGCAGGCTTTAGGTGCCCAGTTCCGGTGGCTGTCTTTGCCAAGCGTAGCAGGATCCTATCTGTTGAATTACCTTCTGTTTCCTCTTCTGGTAGTGTAATGAGAGAGGTATTGATACCTGACATTTTTAACTCAAAAGGGGGACAGCAGCAAGTAAATGGATTAACAAGAACTAAAGAAGAAGTTGATTAAGAGGCTGGCTCTGGTGTGGTTTAAGGAAAGATAAGGTGGACAAATAAGGAAAGTTTGCTTAGGGGGAGGTCAAGAGGGCAGGGAGATGGTGCTGCAGCTTTTCTGAGCATTCTCTCTGTTTTCACAGTGTGTGGAAAGCCAGACAACCCTATTGTCGAAATCCAGCGAATTATTGGAGGGAAGGATGCCCCACGAGGCAGTTTCCCATGGCAAGCTATGACGGTCATCACTGGACGAGCAGGAGGGGCACTGCTGGGTGATCGCTGGATCCTGACAGCTGCCCACGTTGTGTACCCAAAAGGGAAAGAGAATGACACAGAGATGCTGACCCCTGCGCAGGTAGCAGAGAAGGCTGAAATCTTCCTGGGTCACACAGATGTGACTGAACTGTACAAAGTAGGCAATAAACCAATTCTCAGACTCTTTGTACATCCAGACTACAATCCAAAGGATGAGCATAACTTTGATGGAGACATCGCACTCATTGAGTTGAGGGATCCGGTGACTCTTGGCCATGACATGCTGCCTATCTGTCTCCCTGAGTCAGGAAACACCACCTATTATCATCCAGGTTGGATGGGGTATGCCAGTGGCTTTGGAGTAGAAAAAAACATCCTTGCTAGCAGGCTGAAATATGCCCCCATCCCAGTGGGCAACCAGGATAGGTGTCGGGAGTGGTTGCAAGGAAGTAAGATCTCTCAGAAGGATCACGTCTTCTCAGACAACATGTTTTGTGCTGGTAACCCCTATGGAGGAAAAGACACCTGTCAGGGGGACAGTGGAGGGGCCTTAGCTGTGCGTGACCCAGAGACTCAGCGTTGGGTGGCCACAGGCATTGTTTCTTGGGGCCTTGAGTGTGGCAAAGGGTATGGTTTTTATACCAAAATCATCAATTACTTGGATTGGATAAAGGGCATTGTTGGGAAGGATTGGGTGTCCATGCAGGTTTCTCATTAGCCTACTGAAGAAGTGTAAACTAAATTATGATTCTATGCATGAATGAAAAATACATACTTCTCATTAGCTTTCTGTTGTTCTTGCCGCCCTGCCCTCTTTTCTTTGATACCAAATAAATGTATAGTTGCTTCTTTTATTGGCTGGGAGAGGGGGGGAACAATTCCTCCTGCCCATCATTTCTCTACTCATTTTCCGATGCCATCAGCAAAGAGAAAGGTTTTGGGAAAAGCGAAGAAAGATTTCTGAATAGGAAAAGGAAGTGTTATTTCTTCCCATTCCCATTTCATCCTCTTGGCTCAAAAGTTTCTTTGGGGTTCTTTCTAGTATCAGTGGGGACTCTGAGATGGGAAATGATTGCACACTATATAATTTTGTGAATGTGAATATATTTTTAGCATCTGGCTCCAGAATCTGCCATTAGATGCAGCCATCTGAACCAAAATATAGCTACCAATTTTTTTTGTAAAAATGGCACATTTTTTTCATTTATTGTTGCAATATGAGAGAGAGAGACCCCTTCATCCCCTCCCAAACTAGACAATTACTGGTTTAACTAACAGCTTCTACCGATATTTCCTCTGTCAAATCTTTAGTTGCTTAGCAAAATAAACTAAAGATAGCTAAATTAAACAAGATCATCTCAAAAAGATTTGTGTATTATTTTCATTAACAGCAGAGAGGACTTCTGATACAAACTTACGATAACACCATAACACATTCTCAGATATAATGTATTTTTTGTGATTAATAAACATTAAAGTTAAGCAAGTTATCAATAAATCAAAACATGTCAAGAACATTTGTCTATGGCAGAGAATGCCATGTGTCATAAACTTTGTTGCTAAGACTATGCAAAACTATCTAGAGCAGGGGTATATTAATTGCAAGGCTGGGGAATGAACTGCTCTAAATCTGTTGATCCAAGTCTATTTAAGCAGGAGACATAAACCCAGTGCTGATAGCTTTGTGCCTCTTGATGTCTGTGTTCTGCAACAGGAAGATCTTCTGTGTCTGTATGACTCCTTTCTTGTCATAAAACAACTTATCTAACACTATTGAGTCTAAGAATCTCCTGCTGTCATGTATTTCTTGTACGGGTAAATTTATAGATGGACCTGGCCTAAAATATATCTCATTTCTTAGCAACATAGTTTTTCCACCTCCTCTCCATGAAGCTGTCTCCATCTGGTTCCCAGCTCATGAGCAAAACAAGAGATTTTCCTTAACTCTCCTGGTATTGAAATCAGTCTCAAAATGTGGGAAATCTCCTTGGCTTTGATACTGCTTAACTTGGAGGAAGGTGAGATTGCTACCAATGAGTAGGGATGAGCCATAGAGGCAGAATAGGGTACAGCAATGGTGGCAGCTTAATTTCAAGCTGGTATTGTTTTCTGCTGACTCAAGTTTTGGTTAATAAATTTACCAAACAAGTAAATTTACCAAATAAATTCCAAACAAGAGTGGAGAAAGGCCCTTTGAAATGCTACAAGCTATGCAAATAAAGAAATGGGACATTGTCACTTAGATGTTTAGACTTTCTCTGGTCACCATGGTCAAGAGAGAAGTAAAGACACCACCATTCACTTGACTGAACAAAACCAAAATGTTGCAATGATGACGCCCAGTTGCATTTCAACCTGGCCTCCAAGACAGTGGTGGGATTGAAATATGTGAACAACCGGTTCTCTGTGTGGATGCCACTTCCGGAAGTCCATTCTGGGCCTGGGCAACAAAAAATTAGCTACCGGTTCTGCCGAAGTGGTGCGAACTGGCTGAATCCCACCACTGCTCCAAGACCATTGTTCCTCACAGACATACAGAGATATTTTCCTTGTACATAATACTACAATAACAAACTCTTTGGAGCACAAATGGTTTATGGAGCATATTACCAATCAGGGTGGAATTAT